TGCATTTTGCTTAAGTGTCTTTTCATTTCCTTTTCTCTTTTTTTAAGTTTAATTCCTGGGGTGATGCTTGTAAGTTACCTATGATGGGTTATTTTAGTGCTTGCATTTAGTACACTTAAGTGATGACTGCTTCTCTGGGGAATCTTCCAGGTGTAGCTGAGTTTTGAGTTTTGAGTCTGCTGGAAGATCTCACCTCTTCAGTTTGCTGGAGATGAGAAGTTTTTGCTCATTTGGCCTAGTCCCTGTTCTTTGGCACTGTGCCACCATATTTCCTGTGACCCTTAGTCAATCTCAATTATGGAATACCTGGACCAGCAGCTATTTAGAACAATTATGTCTGTTGTGGCTATAGTGGTACCAAGAGCATCAAATACAGCTTAGAGAATGGCAGTGCCTTCATATCCTGTAATACATCACACCTCCACAGATTGACGGGTATGTGGAGGAAGATTTCAGGTGAGAAACGTCCAGAATGGCGTCTGCCTTCCAAGTTAACAATTTAACACTTATACTGGGGTGAGAAACACTGCTCACCCCCTGTAGGTCTGTTGTTGTTGCATCCAGGAGCCATGCCAGAGGCCAACGGTGTTGGGCACTGACACCCACACCTGTGTCTAAAAGCCCTTTGAATGCTTTTCCTTCACTAATCCATTCCATCTTGGGGCAATCCCGTTTAGCCTGTTGAACCCAATAAGCCTACAAAGACCAGATACCATTGATCTGTTTCCTTATTTATAAATTTTCCAATCTTTTCAAAGGAAGAATGACCAATTGAGCAATGTGAGCATCTGGAGTGACTTAAAAGTGTTTTGAATGACTTTGATTTCCCCTGCACACTCAGCACGGGTGACACCAGGCAACCCCTGGAGACCTTTTAAAGTGAGACTGCTGTGGCCTAGCAGGAGTCCACTGCTCTCTGAGGTCAAGGTCCACAGACTCCAGTGTGAATAGCCTGGGGTCCCATTTCAGGAGTTAGTACAAACCTGGAGGGACTGAGGTTCAAGCCTCTACCGTCTTTGCTGCTTTCCAGAGGTCAGAAACGTGCTTGACGGTGGAAGGTGGGGCTGGTGAGGAATCAGGGAAAGCACTGTGAGCCCTGCTGTGTGGCAGGGCCGCAGCAGGCCCCACTGGGAGTTTGCCAGCGTGGGTCTGTCTTCCACATCAGTTTTGGATCTATACTCATTTGCCCCATGTTTACCTCTTCTATACTTTGTATAGATTCTACTAGAAGGTTTTAGTGAAGAGACAAATAATAACTGTGTTGTTCTTACCAGCGCAGCAGAGCAATTTTGGCAAAATGTCCCCAATACGTAGAACTGAAACAAGTAAAGTCCTGCTTTCTTTTGCTGTAGGCTGTGGGTGAGTAGCCTGAGTGACAGCTGCTGCCAAGGAAACCCCGCTTCACATACGAGGGGCCCAATCGATGTCTGCACAAATCTCAACATCTCAGACAGTGCAGCCTTTTTTGGGGGTTCCTAAGCCCTCGTTAGGCCATCTATTTGCATTTTCAAAGGCCAGTTGTTGAACAGTTAGTTTGTTAGCCTCTGAATTGTTGACAATCCTCTTGCTGGCCTACAATAGGTGTGTGGCAAAATCCTGAAAAGGTTCATCAGGACTTTGGTGGATGGAGGTCAGATCAAGGTTACCCTCTGAAGGAAGTTCCCGCCAAGCCCTTATGGAAGGTAGTTTAACTTTTTCATTTACTTGTAGTTTAAAAATAATTTGATTATTTATGGCAACAAAGGTACCTTCTCCAGTTAACACAGCATTTGTAATGCTTATGTTGTGAGTGGTACTGCAAATGGCCTGATTCAAACAATTTTCCTTTCACAATAAATAATCCCCCAAATGGAAACATGCTTTAGCTGTTCCTTTCCAATCATTTGGGGTCATAACTTGATGTCCCATAAATTCTGTTAAAGCTCAGGTAAAAGGGGTCATGGCATCATAGGCAGTGATAGCTTGCGTTAATTCTTTTAAGGTCTTGAAAGGAACAGTTCCATAAAGACATGTGACCTGTCCTGGATTATTAGGAATTTGGAGTTCTTGTTTAAATCCCTCCAAGAAAAAAAATAATAAATCCCTCCGAGGACTCTCCCACCCGCATGGCTTCTTTTATTGCCAGCTGCAAGGGAGAAAGAAAGAAAGAATGAATCTACTCCCTGAGAGAGCAAAGTTTCAAGCTGTGATGCAACAAGGTTTCTCCGAGCTGGAGAAGCTGAAGCTGCCTCGTGAGGCACAGTTAATGTTAGTGGTTTTACCTTGAGCAGCTGTGAAACTGAAGCTGCACTGAAACACTCCTCTGGTGGGGAAAGATAATTTTTGTCCCCACCGTTCCTTCCCTACCTGGTGCAGCAAAGGGAGAGGGTTCAAGCTCTATGGGTGGGGTGGAGGGCCAGTCGCCTTATTATTCCCTCTCTTCTCGGACAGTGGTTTATAGTAGTGCTACAGGTGGAATCCTCTGTGGTCATCTCAGCAGATGCACCACCATTGAGACTCCCTGACCCAGGTCCTCAGGAGAAAAGTAGATTTGTACATACATGTGCTGTTCTTGAGCACCTACTTGCCTCATGCTTAGCATCTGATAAAATCAATACACCTCCCTCTCTTTGGCTTATCTTAAGCCTATTTCTTTGTGTGCACACAGCTGGAGGTTTCCTCTTGCAAACAGAGAGGACAGAAGCAGAGCTTCTCATCGTGACAGCACCAACCTGTGTCATCTGCTGACTTAACCCTCACCACAGATGAGTGCAGTGTTGGCATCCGAGTAGCCATCCAGACAGTGCCAGACTCCACAGATGTCACGGACATCGCCTGCTGTCACCCAGAACCAGAACTCAAATGCAGGTTTTCCTGACTCCAACATTCAGTTTTTTGCCAAAATTAAGACATAAGCAAAATTCACACATTTCTACTAATTCTGTGACCTCATTTCTGTCACTGTGTAAGTAGATGTTGTTCATTCCTGTCTCTCTGCAGCCCTTTGTGACTCTGCAAACTTACTTCTTCTGACCTTTCCTAGGAAGAAGATCAAAGCTTTTCTGATGACTTCACACAGTGGGGTGTGGTAAGGTCACCCTGGTCCTGCTGGGCACTGCTACTTCATTCTTCTGAGACAGGGTCTCCCACATCGTAGTCCAGGCTGGCCTTGGACTGGTGATTCTCCTGCTTCAGCCTCTCACCTGCTGGGACCACAGGTCTGCATCACCATGCCCAGCTATTCCTTTTCATGCTTGAGTAAAATTCTGTTGCAAAGCTCTTAGGTTTTTCTAAAATCCATTTTTGGCTATAAAGAGTAATGCTGATTTGAACAATCATGGATAGATTTTGTTTTGATGCACGTTTCTTTCTTAAACTCAAAGGTGGAATTGTGGGGCACACAGTCATTATTTGTTTAGCTTTTGAGAAAGTATGGAGCTGTTTTCTTTTTCTTTCCCTTCCTCCTTTGTGGGGAACCACCCAGACAAATCTTCTTGACTCTCTTTGAAAAGAAGAGCAACTGTCTCCATTTGGATAAATTCGGCCTTATCTCCATGTATGGATATGTATAGAGCTGGCTAGGCTAATTCTCTATCCCTTCAATTGGCTTTTAGCAATGTAAATTGGGCTGGCTGAGGAGGTGATGTGTAATCTCTGAAGCAAAATCACAGGTCAGTGTTTTCTCACCCAGTGGTTGAGCCAGGCGGGATGCAGAGCTATGCTCCACGCTGTCAGCAGGGACTGAGCCTCGAGAAAGAGGCTATGACTTCCCAGGGCAAAAAGGATTGCACATCAGAAGTGAAGCACCGGCCCCACATTACCAGACACTACCTCACGTGTGTTACACAGATTCCCCTCTCTGCATTTCTTGCCCTCTGCATATTACAGAGATGATTCTCAGACCTCCTACCTGGCCCAGCTCGTGACAGTCACGTTTCCCACCACTCTGTCACTCATCCCCGAGCCACTCCTTAGTGGAGAATTAAAATCTGGGGTGGGTTCTGGGGATGGCCTTTGTTCTTATGAACCACCATCTTGACTGGACTGAGGACCCTTGGTTTCCTATAACTGTTATATATGTCATAGTGTCTTTATTCTTGCCTTGGCTGCCCTGGAAGTGGTAGATTGGAATTAACTCACTAGAATTACAGTATCTTTTCCTTGAGATTACAAACATAAACCTTCCTAGACCATGAGGAGGATGGGAAAGGGATGTCTACTCCCTCCCATCCTTTCTTCCATTGCTAAACTCTCCCACTGCAGCTATACCAGTTCACATTTCTACTAGTCAGTGTTTTCCCACATCCTCGCCAACACTAGTCATTGTTAGGTTTTTCTGAAAGCTGTGTTAGGGAGCAAGAAACTGCTGGCTATACTGTCATGGAGATTTCCACCTCTGTTGCCTTTTACAGTTTGCACTCTTATGTGCACCTATTCTTAGATCCTGAGCAGTTTTTGTACATGGTGTGGCAAGAGGCCCAGACCTATTCTTTTGCACCTTACACCCAATTATCTCCCACAGCATTCGCAGGCAAGATTATTCTTCCCCACTGAATGGCCCTTTTGCGCCTGTCATGGGTCAGTTGACTCTCAATGTGTGGGTCAATTTCTGGACTCACAGGTTAATTCCATCATACGGACTTTTTACTGTTAGAATTATTTTATTCAATATTTCATCTCTAAAACTTCCAAAATTACTTATTATTCAGTTGATGCAAATGAACCAAAGTCAAATATACTGTGAAAATATTTACTAAATAGCTTCATTCTAATAGTACTATATTAGACTATGTTACAATTATGTGTTTTGCTATTAAATAATTTCTAAAGCTATAAATTGAGTCAGGGATGTAGCTCACTGGCAGAATGTTTGCCTAACATATGTGAGGCCCTGAGTTCAATTCCTGGCACTAAAAAGATAAAAATAAACAAAGCTATAAACTTATGAGACAGCACAAACCCATTTCAATATTTCAGAAGAGGAAAGTATATTAAATATAATTACACACTATACTACACACTATAAATGAAAATATGAAGTAACTGTTTTATTGCTTTACTAATTCACAAATCCATACAGTAAGATTAAAATATTAACACTTGTGTACCAGGCACGGAGGTTCTTGGCTGAAATTCTAGCTCCTCAGAAGACTGAGGCAAGGAAATCACAAGTTGAAGACCAGGCTGGGTAATTTAGGGAGTTGTCTTAAAATAAAATAGAAAAAGGGCACAGGGTTGTAAGTCCATCGATCTATATACTTCATTTTTTTCTGAGACAAGTTCTACGTATTGCAGGCTGGCCTCGAACTCATGATCCCCCTGCCTCCGCAGGAGATAGACCAGCATCGACACTCCATTATTTCCTTTTATGGTTGAATAAAATCCCACAGTACAGCAATGCCATGCTTTTTAAAATCCACTTTTCAACTGACAGACCATTGAACCTGTCCATCTCTCAGCACTTAGGACTCATGCCGGCTTGCTCATTCACGTGTGGCTCAGGCTCCTTGGATTCAATCCCTGAGTGTGTATATGTGCGCGCGCGCGAACACACACACACACACACACACACACACACACACACACAAACACACACTCCCCAACCAGGTGGACCTGCAGATTTCCCATGCACCTGCACTGTCTCAGTGCGAGAGTTGCTAGGCAACCGCTACATAGCCCAGATTCTTGGAAATCTCTCCCCTCGGTTCTAGGACACACTTTGGCAGTGGAGTAGGCGCAGGGGCCTCAGCCCTCTGCAGGGTGCAACACAGCTCCTCTCACCGTGCCCCACCTCCCTCGATGATGTGGCTCCTGGTGCCTCTTTAGCCAATTAGTGTAACTCTGGGGAGAGCATCACACATATCAAAGTACAAAACCTAGGCCTGGCTGGCGTCAGCAGACTCATACGAGAGAAGAAATTCTCCTCTTCTCGACATGCAAGCGGCACCGCTCCAAATCCTGCTGGGCACTGGCCATGAGGTCCGTGAGTGTTTATAGGCGACTTTCAGCGTCTGTGTTTCCAGAGGATGGTGCCACTGAGACATCAGGTCATCACATGGCGCCTTCTTCACAGGCCTCATGTTTGTGTTTTGTTTGTTTCTGAGACAAGGTCTCACTAAGTAGCCGAGGCTGGTCTCCAGCTCCAACAGGGATCCTCCTGCCTCGGCCACCAGTATGTTAGGATCACAGTCCTGCACCACCGCGCCCGGCCCTCCTCACGTCTGTTTTAACTGAGATCCCTTACCAAAGTCAGCCAAAGGTGACCTACACTAGTTTCCACCCCACCTCCCAAGTCCCCGTCCTTACAAATACAAAAACATGAGCTTGCTCATTAATGCTTGGCGGGGAGGAGGTCGGGGTCACCCAGAGTTTCTCATTAGGAGCCCACCAGAGGATGGGGCTCGTCAGAAGAGGCTAGGACAGCTCAGATAGCTGAGGCAACAGGGATCCTGACAGGACAGCTCTCAGCGGGCTTTGCAGCGCTGGCCTGCTGCAGGTCAGAAAGGCGTTCAGGATGCGCCCACGGGCCCTGCAGTTCCGATGCAGCCAGGCGAGGGCGACGCTGCGCCCGAGCCTGCGCCGATGGCCGCTTCCTCCAGCTACGCCAGCGCTCCTGCTCTATTTGCAAGACGTGGGTATTTTCAAACAGTCGTACAAATATTTCTCCCGCGGCACGCTAAGAAAGTGAGAACTGCAGAAGGAAGCGCAGACGTGAAGCTCCGCTCTTTCATTCGTTCTCTTCCGCAGGGATGAGGCGCTGCGCATGCGGCTCCTGGGGACGGCGTTCAAAGCCCCAGCACGCGGAAGGCGTCGCGCAGGTCGTCCACCTCGTAGAGCGGCTGCGGGGACAGAGGTGGCCGCGTGAGCGAGCGGAGCTGGGCGGGGCTCCGAGCGGGGGTGACGCTGTGTCAGCTTGTTCTACAGAAGGGGACCTGGGGTGGGACAGGGCAGGGCAGGCAGGAGGAGGAGGAGCACTATGGCGGGCCCAGAGATGCCCTGAAGCCGCTTACCAACAGGATGCGCCGCAGCTGTCTGGACAGACGGACCGAGTTCTCGTGTAGCCCCTCCCAGGCCTTGAATGTTTTCTCACGGTTCGCGACGAAAGTGTTCCAGCAGTAAAAATAATCTTTAACAAAAAAGGAGGTGGGGAGAAGATAGTTTAGGTCCTGAATGGGGAGGAGAGAAACAAAACTTGACCACCACTACCCCCAGTTCCTCTTCCCGCAGGGCTTTGTGTCCAGGACGTCTGTCTTTCCCCTTGGGTTCTGATTGCCAAGGGAGCTCGGCTAGAATCGAGCGCTCTGGGAGGCTGCGGGAAGAGCATCGCAAGTTTGAGTCCAGTCTGGGCAACATAGCAAGAGCCTGTCCCAACCAACAAGCACCTGCAAAGAAAGATGCCGGGGAGCCGTGGTGTCCCCGCGGGTCCCGCGCTGCCCTCGGCCCAGCCCGCCCGCTCCCTCGCACCTTTGAAGGTCATGACCGCGATCTGGACGCCCGCGCGGTGCAGCCGCCGCAGCCCCTCGGGCTCCGCCTTGCGGCCGTCGCAGAAGTAGAGGCGCGCGGTGAAGATGCGCAGGCTGAGGTTCGGGTTCCCGCGCAGGAAGTCGGCCACGTGCCGCGCGCAGTCGTAGCAGGGGCTCCAGGACGTGAACCAGGTGACGCGGTAGCAGCGGCCCGGGTCCAGGTCCCAGTCGGAGATGTAGCGCAGGAACAGCAGCTCCACGTGGCAGCCGGCCTGCGGGCACAGCGGGGCGTGGTGACCGCGCGGCTCGGGGCGAGGCCAGCCGAAGCTCCGTGGAGCAGAGGCTGCGGCTCGGCCCTGGTTTGTGTGGAGGAGGAGATGCGGGAGCCGGCGCCGAGGTGTGCGTGGGCAGCGCTGTGGAGCCGCCGGCGGCCACCAGGAGGCGCCAGAGCCCGCGAGGTCAGTTGGGCCTCGCCCGGGATTGGGGGGGATTAGGGCTGAGTGCGGGCCTAGGGAGGGGTCAGAGGCCAGGCTGCGAGGACAGCGGGTCATGAAACGTCGTCCCTGCCCACCTATGGGTCTGCAGTGCTCCCCACCTAGCACTCCGCCAGGACAGAAAGACATAGCTGATTCCCTGCCCCACTGCTCGGGAGGCTGACAGGCTCCCCAGCTCGCGGCTCTGCAGTTTCCTCGTGGGGGAAACCAGCCGGGGTCGTGCACAATGCACGACCGCGGTTAGAGCGCTCGGTACACAGACCGCTGTGAGCAGCGCGTGCGTCCTCACGGGCAGGACAGAGGCTGGGATGCAGGCTAGTGATGGTGAGCTCAGCTACTCAGCACAGATCCAGGCGCGCGGAGGAGGGGGGGGTCACATGACTCACAGAAAACCGGTGAGTGACAGTCTGGCCCTAGGCTGCCACCAAGGCCTGATTTCACAGCACGTTGGGGCAGAGGACTGTCACAGGAGCTTATGCAAACCTATCTGAATTTGGAAATGCCATTTTTTCAAGCAGCTCAAAGAGTGAGTACATTAACTCATTAGAGCTGGGCTGTGGTGGCACAAGCCTGTGATCTCAGCACTCAGGACGCTGAGACAAGAGAATCGCTGTGAGTCCAAGGCCAGCCTGCGCTACAAAGTGAGTTTAAGACAACTTTCTCCTTTGAGAAAGGAGAGCCTTTCTCAAAAATCAAACAAATAAAAAAACAAAAACAATAACAATACATCACTCATCAGTCCTGAGTTCTTCGACTTTTCTGGCTTCACCATGATGAATGCATTCACTACCTATGATATATCAGTCGGAAGGAACAGAAATCATCTGGAAAACAACTGCATCAATTTTTCTTTCCTTTGTAATTTTTTTTTTCCTTTCCTTTTCTTCGTTTTTTCGAGACAGAGTCTCACTATTTAGGTCAGAGTGGTCATAAACTCAGTATGTAACCCAGGCTGGCCTCAAACACAGAGATCCTCTTGCCTCAGCTTCTTAAATGCTAGGATTACAGGCATGCATTTCACACCTGGCACTGTAATTTTTCCTAAATTTTTCTTCCTTAATTTTATGAACTTCTAAAGGTACAGGTTTTCCTCCTTGGAGGACTGGGGACAGATTTCATGAGTAGGACGCTCACGTAGCTTGTGCAAAGCCCTGGGTTCAATCCCCAGCATGACAAAAGCCAATCGTAAATAGACATAACATTTGCTTGAACAAGCTGATCATGTTTCCCCAACCAAAATGCTCTTATCTTACTATCAAGGCGACTTGAAGCCGAGGCCTGCAGGACGGGGGAGGATGGTTCATGACACAGGCAGGCCGTGTCTAACACAGGTGCGCGTCCGTGTAGACAGACAGGGAGGGAGAAATGGGGCGTCGTGCCACGGGCTAAAAGGACCCAGTGCGGGCGCCTCCCGCAGCACCCAGGGGTTGGGCTTGCCCTGCCAGGAGCGCCCAATCCCAGCCAGTACCTGGTTGCGCAGGTGGCCGAAGTCTAAGGAGCAGGAGGTGGCGCTGTCGCGCCGCTTCACCACGTAGCACAGGTAGGTTTCGTGCCGACCCTTGGCCCAGCGGACGTTCTTGAATTGGTACAGAAACTTCGTTCGCTTCATCAGGAGGCTGCATGTGGGAGGACAGGGGGGAATACAGGTGGTGACCGCGTCAGGCGGCGCTGTCCTGCTTCGTCCTGAACACTATTACCCGGCGGTGCTGGGAGCGAAGCCAGGGCCCCACGGGGACTGGGCACAGGCCAGGCGCTGCGCGGGCCCCACCCTGTAAGTGCCTAGAAAATGTGCAGTGATGATGGGGGGAGAGGGCGTTCCTGAGACCCGCTGAGCTTGCAGAGCACCGGAGACGCCCTTTGCTGCTCAGCATGGAGAGCAATGCAGAAATCTCCAGAGCCCTAAACCCTGCTCCTCCCTCTGAGAGCTTCACAAGCAATCTCCTCCATGTTGGGGCTTGAAACTTGTTCTTTGGTCTCACGCTTACATTTGCAGGTCTCCCGGGTCTTGCCAAAAGATCCAAAGGTACCTCAGAGCAACCTGGTCAAACAGCTGTAGGCCTGGCCACTATCACCTCAGCTGCTGCCACTCCTGCTGCGACCCCAGCAGGAGCACGCTTTGACCTGTCTCTGTTTCTCAGGTGTCCTGTGTCCTGCAAAGCTTTGATCCAATGAACTTGTTTTCCAAGCTGAGTGTGTATTTGTGTGTGTGTGTGTGTGTGTGTGTGTGTGTGTGTGTGTGTTGCTAGGATTCACCCAAGGCCTTGAACATAAACGCTTTCCCACTGCCCCGTTAGGCTTTTCTTTTGGTAATGAGTCTCTGGTTCAGGAGTAGGACTATCTGAAAAAAAAAAAAGTTATGGGGCTGGGGATTTAGCTCAGCGGCATAAGCACCTGCCTTGCAAGCAGGCAATCGTGAGTTCGATCCCTGGTACCGATAAAAAGGAAAAGGAAAAAGACAAAAAAAAAAAAAAAAAAAAAGTTATTCCAAGTTAAAACGAAGTGGGGGGGAAAGCAACTTGGAGGACAGTGCAGTTTCTGTGGTGGAACCACGTGAAAACTGAAGATGCACAAAACTCCAACCTGTGTGAGCGATTATATCTGCATAGCAAAGGCATGCCAGCACAGGAAGCAGGAGGAGTGCCCTGTGCCTGGGAGGGCCAGCAGAGCCCAGGCAGCTGACGAGGCCCCACCTCCCGGCCCTCAGCTGTCACCAGGTCCACAGTGCTGGCCCCTGGCCCTTCCACAGCAATGTCCCCACTCTGCCACTCAGAGCCGTGTCACTGTCTCGCTGAATGCTGCTCATTCTCTTCTGCCCTGGGAGTCAGCTGCAGCCCTGAGAGCCCAGTGTCAGGCAGCCTTTCTGGAGGGACCTGAAGGCAACATTTCTGCCATTGCCTGACACCTTTCCTCGCCCTCCCCTCCCGCTGTTTGAGACCTGGAGCAGCTGGCTGCCAGCATCAGCCTGTGTCCCTTCAGCACTTTTTTCGCACCTCCCTTGATGATGGTTCACTTCTCCTTGGCTGAACGCTTTCCTGCTTGTTCCCTTTTGGTGGCACTAGGCTTTGAACAGTCTCGTGCATGTGCTCTACCACTCAGCTGCATCCCCAGGCGATCCAGACTCCTCCCCCCATTCTGCCCAAAGCCTATCTGTCCTTCAGAGCTACACCCATTTCAGGTCTCCTTCCTAGGAGGATCTTTCTCAGCCAGGAGTGGCAGTGCACACCTGCAAACCAGCACTCTGGGAGGCTGAGGCAGGAGGATGGTGACTTCCAGTCCAGCCTGGGCAACTTAGATACTGTCTCAAGAGCAAAGGGGCTGAGTTTATAGCTCAACGCAAAGGCCTTAGGTTCAAACTGCGGTACCACAAACAAAGCAAAGTAAAAGCTTTCTCACCACTATTATCCCAAATTTTCTAAGCAAAAATAATTTCCTCTGATTTCCTGTTATTTTCCAATTTCTCATTTGCTGACATCTCAGTGTTCTCAATTAGATATTTTCCGTTTTGAGACAGTGTCAAGGTTATGAATACATTTTTATGTGTAAGAGCAACATTTGATTATTGTCCAATTGGGATACTCTAGAAAAGTAACGTTTTAAGTATTAAAGACTTAAAATTTAGAAAGTCATAATGTCTAACAGTGATAATGAAGCATTCTATGTAATGACAGTGACACTTAAAAGAGTCTAGTTTCTCTTCTAGTCTTTTTTATGGGTGCATAGTCACATGGTCATTACACATAAGGAACTCGTACTTTGTAGACTTTTTTTCTTTTTCTTTTCCCCAGCACTGAGGGTTGAACCTGGGACCTTGGAGCATGCTAGGTCCATACTGTACCACTGAGCTACACCCAAGCCCTTATGCTGGTCTCTTCCATTGCGATAAAACACTACTATTTTGCTGTTGTTCACAGTCACGCACAGGGACCCTTGGCCCCTTATCTTTGTCTTCCATTTCTAGCACAGCACCTTGTGAATCGGGGGCTCTACACTGAATTGAATTGGATTGACAGAAATATTTTTTGGCAACTCAGGTTCTTTGAGGAAATCAAAGTGCTCTTCACTGAAGAAAACACGCTAACACAAGCGATAGTCATGGTGCTAGGAAAGCTAGATCAGTGTCTCTAGTCTCTAAATTCATGGCCCTTATTTTGCCCAATTGTGATCCAATTTGCTGAAGTAGTGCTGCCACCTAGTGGTGTCTAACAGAAGTGCAGAGCGCTTGCAAAGTGAAACAGCCGGAATTTGAATACGGTTTGGTGATGAGAGAATTGAAACTTTGTTACTTTTTTTTTGTTACGTTGAGGTACAATTTACATGCAGTAAACTTCGCCCACAGTTTTGTGGACATTGCCAGATGTAAACACCCCAAACTGACACCCCCATCGGATTACTGATCATTTCCAGGGCCCTGCCCCCAAAACCCTTCAGCCCCTCTGCAATCAGCTCTGGACCCTGGCAGCCGCTGACCGACTCTCAGAAACCCTGAGTTACCCTTCACGCTAGTCCTACATCGTCTCCTCCTCCGAGTTTCACTTACTTCCTGGGGGCTGCTACAGTCACACGTGTGCCAGTTTTTGGACATTAGTTGAAAACTCATGCAGTACTTTAGAGTATGCTTCAAGTGATCAAACCCTGGCCTAGGAAGACTGCCGCCAATATGTCAACTTTATTTTGTAGAGAATGTCGGACACAACATCTAGGATAAGAGCTAGTATTGGTTTCAGGTTTACACTGAGGAAACTTACTGGAAGACTTTTTAAATTAAACCTTAAAACAGAGAACTAGATTGTTATCAGCATAAATATTATGTATATCAAAAAATATAAACATTGGTTAACAAAGGGTGGGTGTGGTGGTACAGGCCTGTAATCCCACGACTCTGGGAGGCTGAGACAGGAAGATCTCAAATTTGAGCCCAGCCTGCACAACTCAGCGACAGCAAAACCCTATGTTAAAATTAATAAGAAAGGCCTGGGATTTAGCTCACTGTGAAGGGTTGTGGTTTAATGCCCAGTACCACAAAAAAAAACAAGTTCAACTATATTCTTTTAAAAGTTAAATTCTTTTAAAAGTTCTGATCCTTTGCATGCACACACACACACACAAAAAGCATAAGTGGCAGAAACACCAAATGGATACTAACAAAGTCCCAACAATAACTGACCTTAGTTTAAAATTATAACAGTTTATTATGCTGATCACAATTGTACCATGACACATTATTATACAATTAGTCTTTAATAACTCTTAACATAGCACATACTTA